GACTCTTGATTCAATCAGATTTAAGCTTAAATCAAGAACCAAGCCTCTTATAATTTGAGCGGATTTCCTTTTGATTTAAGCTTAAATCTGATTGAATCAAGAGTCCTTTTTCTTGTCAATGTTTTCAAGAGTCTGGACTCTAGATCCAATGTGTTTTTTTTTCCAGTGTAAAACAGTTGAATTTTACAACGTGCGTCATATTTTAATCGACTTTCTTTTAAAACGATCAAACTAAAGTTAAAAAATAATTTAATAAATATATACACTGTTATAAATCGAGGAGCGACATTAAGTGCCGGAGTCTATATACCGTCTAAAAGCCGCAAGTGATATCTATGAAGGCGAAGTGATATTAGCACCATAAAAGCGTATGGCACTACGGAAAAGAGTAGATTCCGCTCCCTTAGAGTGTAAGCAGTGGCGTGGCGTGAATAATCGATTATCGATATCTCGCCATTTGAAACTATGGTAAAGAATCGATTACTAAGGTGTTCGCTGCGAACACCCCGATAATCGATCTTTTTTCATAGGTTTAAATGGCATAACAATCGATATATCGCAATTCACGCCACGCCACTGATGTGTAAGTCATTCCGTAAGAAGAATGCATTCAGCTCCGCATTCATATCAGTCGGACTTTTTGGATGCTATGTAGAATCCGGCATTGAATTTGACTCCAAAATCTTTGGTGCATTAACTCTGTATTGCACAAACGACATTGCGAGACATCGAAATGCATTTAATTATGTTATGCCAGGAGAGGAGATAGGAGATCGATAGCGGTCCCCAATACGAACCCCAAACTGAAAACTTTTTTCGTGGTTTGCTTCTCGCACCAATCGAAAGAAAACTAGTTTGTTGACGTAGGACAATGGAGATGTTGCACGTGTGAGGAATTTGCGATTTGACTTTAGGTAGATTCTTCTGTACAAGTTCGCGAGAAAGACGATGGTGCCACTGGTTTTCTCTGAAATCAACTCCCTAGCTCAAAAAAAAACCTCTCAAGTTGAGGCCAATATGGAGGAAATATCCCACCCTACCCTGAGAGTCCACGTCTACATCAAGACAAACTCTCCATGCAAAGATAGGGAGCAAATACATCGACAGGGCTGCCACTTCATTTGGGGACTCTAAAACTGAAAACACGGCAACCCCGCAACCCTGCTAATGTATTTGTTCCCTAGCTTTGCATGGAGAGTTTGTCTTGATGTAAAGGTGGACTCTCAAGATAGCGTGAGATATCCCCTCCATTTTGGCCTCACTTTGAGAGCTTTTTTTGAGCTTGGGAGATGTTTCAGAGAAAACCAGTGGCACCATCGTGTTTCTCGCGAACTTTTACATAAGAATCAACAGTCAAATCGCAAATTCCTCACACATGCAACATCTCCATTATTGATGTGCAACTCACCTTTCAATCATCTGTAAGTAATTGAGGGATCTTTTAGTTTGATTTTCGTACAAGTCCTTGATCAAAGGGAGAAAGGTGAAAGTATCATCGAGAAGCACGAAAGCGATTGCGTCGTGATGGACGAAGCGAATGAACTGCCGCTGTTGGAGCACCCCGCTTGCGTAGTATTTGATGCCGTAGGCCAGAGCAGCCCCGAAATTTTCGATGCTGCGCAGTAAATTCTTGAAAGCTATAAGATTCCTGGAAACATCATCAATGAGAATTCAGGATGTAAGGGAAAATCCTGTCCCTGCTCTCCACGTGGGCCGATCGTTGGAAGAGTAAAAAGTAAAAGAATAAAATCATGCCCAGCGGGCCGATTATTGAGATTGATAGACAAAGCTATAGGCAAAGAAGACATAGGGGGTATAAAGCAATTCTGTTGGTTGAAATGGGTGGTTCTCATAGACTGAGGGGGGAAATGATAGACTAACTGTCGGGTCTCTCGTAGGTTGCCGTTAGTTAGTCTGTTACGTACCTCCTTTGTCCATTGCAACCACCCGCTTCTACCAATAGGATCCCTCCAAATCCTTTTTGCCTTCTTTGTCTATTGCTTTGTCTATCAATTTCAATATTCAGCCCGCTGAACCGTAGACTGAAAATCTGTAGGCCCCCTCATACACACATTGTTTACGTTTACAGGCCAGGCCCGTTGGCTCCATGTCGCCATGTAGCCGGCCCCCCCCCCCCCCCCCCCCCCCCCCCCCCCCCCCCCCCCCCCCCCCCCCCCCCCCCCCCCCCCCCCCCCCCCCCCCCCCCCCCCCCCCCCCCCCCCCCC